ATTGACCAGATACTCACTGGACTCACCATATAAATACAGTCACTACAAGAGAGTAAGTCTGAGGCAAGGAATGCTGCAGCAAGTAACTCACGTCCCAACTTCCCACCAACTACAAAGCCCAAGTCAGGAGCATGATGGAATATTCCCCACTTGCCTGGATGGGTGCAGCCCCAACAACACTCAAGAAGCTTGACACCATCCAGGACAAAGCAGCCCGCTTGATAGGCACCACATCCACAAACATCCACTCCCTCCACCACCGATGCTCAGTAGCAATAGGGTGCACTACCTACCAGATGCACTGCAGAAATTCACCAAGGCTCTTGAGACAACAGTTTCCAAACCCATGGTCACTACTACTTACAAAGACAAGGGCAGCAGATACATCAGAACGCCAGCACCTGCAAGTTCCCCTCCACCCACCATCCTAACATATAATCACAGTTCCTTCAATGTTGCAGGGTCAAAATCCTAGAATTCCCTTCCTGACTGCGTTGTGGGTTTACCAACAGCAGACAGACTGCAGCAATTCAAGAAAGTAGCTCACCACCAACTTCTCAAGGGCAACGTGGGGCAGGCAATAAATGCTGGCCAGCCAGCGACATCCACATCCCATTAGTGACTAAAATAAAACCAAAATCAGGGCAGTTATGACAGCATGAGAAGTTATACAGTCATAAGGTTTTACAGCATGGAAACAGACCCTATTAGTCCAATTCTTCCATGTCTATCAGATATCCTACACTGATCTAGTCCCATTTGCTAGCATTTGGCCCATATCCCTCTAAACATTTCCCCTTCATATACCGATTGAGATGCTTTTTAAATGTTGTAATTGTACCAGCCTCCAACACTTTCTCTGGCAGCTCGCTCCATGCACGCACCATCCTCTACATGAAAACACTGCCCCTTGGGTTCCTTTTAAATCTTTCCCCTCTCACCTTAAACCCATGCCCTCTAGTTTTGGACTCCCTCACGCCAGGGAACTACCACCGCCAGCAGCGCATTCCATATGCCCATCACCTCAGGTGTCCGTCCAGTTCCACCACCAATTCCCCACCCCACCCCGTCTCTCTCTCTCTCTCACACACACACACAGACACACACACATACACACAACACACACACACACACACGTACATGTTGGTGTACAAGATGATCGAGGAGTTTGTGAGAGGTGCAGCAGCAAAGTCTCTCAACATAATCAGTGTAGTAGGTCAATTTGAGTGGGTTCACGATCTGTAGTCTTATTGGCAACTTGTCTGATTTCTTGCATTTCTGTAGAAACTTGATGCCTGTGTCAATATGCTCGATCCTCTTGGAGATCCTCTCCTCTTGGAGATCCTCTCCGCTTTGAGCCGGCAGTTGGTGGTGTCGATGGTAGCCGTGATGTGGAGGTGCCGGTGTTGGACTGGGGAGGACAAGGTCAGAAATCACACGACACCAGGTTCTAGTCCAACAGGTTTATTTGAAAACATAAGCTTTCGGAGCCTCAGTCCTTCTTCAGGTGTTAGTGAGAGAGGTAGCATCAGACACAGAATTTATAAGTAAAAGATCAAAGGTTCACACCATTGACGAGGATGTACTAAACGAACAGAAGATGCTGTTAAATGGGAGAGTGTGTGTATGTGAGCAAGGGGGGATGGAGAGAGAGAGAGAGAGAGAGAGAGACAGAGACAGAGACAGAGAGAGAGAGAGAGAGTGCGTGTGTGAGAGAGAAAGAGAGACAGACTGAGAGAGTGTGTGCGCGTGCGCGTGTGTGCGAGAGACAGAGAGAGTGTGTGTGTGTGTGAGCGAGTGAGAGAGAGAGTGAGTGTGTGAGTGTCAGTGTGAGAGTGAGTGACAGAGTGAGAGTGAGAGAGTGAGAGTGTGAGAGTGAGTGAGTCAGTCAGTGAGTCAGTGAGTGAACAGGACAGATACCTGAAGGTGTTGAAGGACGCCCTCATAGGAACAGGATACGATCTCAACTCATCGATCGCCAGTACCAACGTGTCACAGCGAGAAACCCTAATGATCTCCTCAGAAGACAGACCCGGGATATGTCTGATAGGGTACCCTTCGCCGTCCAGTACTTCCCGGGAGCAGAGAAACTACACCATGTTCTTCAACACATTAACGATGACGCTGAGCACCTCGCCAGGATCCTCCCTTTGCCTCCACTTCTCGCCATCAAACAACCACCAAACCTTAAACAGACCATTATTCGCAGCAAACTACCCAGCCTTCAGGACAACATCAACCACAACACCACACAACCCTGTCATGGCAACCTCTGCAAGACATGTCAGATCATCGACATGGGCACTACCATCACACGTGGGAACACCACCCACCATGTGCGCAGCAGATACTCATGTGACTCGGCCAATATTGTCTATCTCATACGCTGCAGGCAAAGATGTCCTGAGGTATGGTACATTGGTGAGACCATGCAGATGCTACGACAACGGATGAATGGACACTGCCCAACAATCGCCAGACAGGGGTGTTCCCTCCCAGTGGGGGAACACTTCAGCGGTTAAGGACATTCAGCTTTGGATCTTCGGGTAAACGTCCTCGAAGGGCAGACTTCGGAATGCACAACAACACAGAGTTGTCGAACACAGGCTGATAGCTAAGTTCAGTCCCCATGAGGACGGCCTCAACCGGGATCTTGGATTCATGTTGCTCTACAGGTGACACCACCACAATGTACACTCTTACACACGCACACACACACACACGCACACACACATACACGCACACACACAAACACGTGAATCTATGGGGTGAATTTGTTACTTGCAGATACATTTTATTTTGTGCAAAAAGCACACAATATATTGACAGTCAGTCAATATGGCATTTTATAAATTCCTACTTTAGAAATAAAACTAGCCTTACTCAAAACTAAAACACAAACTGATTCTAAACAAGGTCTGACCTAAAATGTCACCTTTTCTTTACACTGATAAAACCTTTAGTTCTCTCAGGACAGTGACTTGAAAGGAATTCGGGGATTTACATACACATATTAATCAATTAATACCTTTTAAGTGATTAAAGATTTAACAGCTTCTTAGGTTTGTTCAGTACATCCTCATCAGTGGTGTGAACTTTTGATCTTTTACTTATAAATTCTGTGTCTGATATCCTCTCTCACTAACACCTGAAGAAGGACTGAGCCTTAGAACAGTCACGTCTCTGATTCACTCATAGGATACTTCTGTTCTTCAGTGCTGCAACTCAAGCTGCAGTGACAACTATCATTGCAAATGTTGCTGCAGTCCAAAGATGTGCAGGTTAGGTGGATTGGCCATGCTAAATTGCCCGTAGTGTTCAGAGATGTGTAGATTAGGTGGGTTATAAGGGGATGGGTCTGGGTGGGATGCTCTGAGGTTCGCTGTGGACTTGTTGGGGCGAAGGGCCTGTTTCCACACTGTAGGGATTCTATGATTCTATGAGGAATCCTTTGTGCTCAGGGTCATGTACCTAGTTTATGAACTGGAGCAGGGTCTGCTTTTCCAGCTTGTTTGCTTGTTCTGCTCGCGTTCATTCACTCTCAGCATACCTTCCTTCCGTTACTGTACCTTTTTTCACATTTCCCTCTTAGTTAGAGATAACCAGGCACATATTACTTCTGTCCTACCTTACTGTGTAGCACAGACACAGAAGGAGGAAGTATCTCATGACTAAGTGAGATTTTTGTAGAAAACCTCCATTCATTCTACAAGCATCACCTCAAAGTATGAGTCACTTGTCAGTTTTGTTCTCCATTTGCACCCAGTCTGATTGTTGTCTCTTTGACCTGACCTATAGAAAGAACACCTCAACTTTCAATTTGGCATTTTAAATCCTTCTCAACCCAGGAGTGAATTCACCAATTTTAGATTGGAACATAGCACACATTTTGTTTTTTTTTCCCCCTCGCTAATTTTTTTACTTGTTCAGTTATGTCTTATTTATTTTACTGTTTTGGCGTGACAGCTACTCAGGATTTATCCATTCACACATCTTCTAGGCACATTTTGTTGTGTTTTTTACTTCCTCCAATATCACTTCCTTTTTTCAGGTGCTATAAAGGTTTTCGTCACTTAATTGCTCTTGTCTTGCACTGTATCACAGACCTTTCCTTTCGCCGTTCTGCCTCCCTTCCCCCGATTCAGTCACTTGCTTCTAACTGTTTCCAGTCTTGATTATTTGAAACATTAACTTTGTTTCTCTCTCCACATATGCTCCAAATCTCCAGTATCTCTATTTTACATACGTTAGAAACTGTGATTTATAGTGCCACGATAAATTTACCCACCAATTGTTTCATATTTTCCATCGCCATTTTTTGTCGTCACTTGAAGTCTCTTGCCTCCCTAAGAAACACTGCATTGAATCCAACAATTTTGTCTTAGAAGCTGAATATGGAGTATGTAGTTTGAAGCTGTACATTGTACCTAATTTCCAAGGAACTATGAAAACCAGTCAGCCAATTTTAAAGATCTATGGAGTCTTACTGACTCTTTGAACCTCCTGATCATAACTTTGCTGGGTATTTGCAATGTAAGGGAAAGACACTTTGCACTGGTAGCTATTTTAATAGCTATATTTTATTCATATATAGGGAGCCGTTCATGTGTATAATACATGCAGGCATGGAAGACCAGAATAACAATCATCTTCTATTACTTTGTAGGCTCGATTTTATGATGTGGCCTAGTGGTGACAATTATTCCAGGCCAATCATTTTCAGGTATGCTGCTCACCAGCTCTGTTAAGATTAATTGTTATGATGTGTAATCTCAGCAATCAAATTGGTAAGCACTGCAAAACTACAGTGCCATCCACAGAATTATCGTCTCGGCTTCTCTCAATCGGTCCTAAATTTAGCACCTGATCACCAACATTACCATTTATAAATCTATCCTCATTTCCTCTGATAATTGGCTAAAGCTCAAAGGAAATTCCACATCTATAACATCCAACAGCTTTACTACTGATGAAGTTAAAAATGTGCACAATATACATACATTCCAGCTTGTCCTCAGGTCGTCCTCCTTCTAGTAATGATAGGTAGCAAACAATATCCTTCAACTGAACCACATCTGACTCATCGTTGCTGGCAAGGGAAGACGTTACAGAAGGAGATGGGATTCCTTTGATTGTCTGCGGCTCACTCTTTGTTTCAGAGCACTCCAGTCCTAAACAAAATGAAAGATAACTTTCAAATAATGTTGGCAGATGCCTAACTAATTCACTGAGAATTGTGTGTGGCTTATGAAGTACACACAATTTATTTTTCTTGAAGATAACAGCAGTAAAACAATGTATATTTAAAATGTTTGATTATTAGAAAATTAAATAGATGACAATATATCAAATCAATACATTTGCTGTTAAATTGCTTAAAGTAGAAACGCTGAATGCTGATGGAGTAGCACCTTTGTCATCTGTTTTGTAGTCCAGTTAAATACCCATTGTTCACCATTTCCTTTCATTTTTTCAAATAATCATCATGTAATAAAAGAAATTGACCAATCAACCCCTTAAGTTTTATCATTTGCTCCAATCCCGTAATTACCCATTCCCACATCGTCTTCATAACCCTTGATTCCTTTAGTCGTCAAAGATCTCTTCATTTATGACTTGAGTATACTCATCCGAAACAGATCTTTGGGGTAAAAAACTTTTAAAGATCAATAACCCTTTGAGTGACAAAATTTCTCCTCGTTTGAATCCTAAGTGGCCGTCCAGACTCTCCAGCCTGGGGAAACAAAGGGTGTCACATCCTTTAACAATTTTGTACGTTCAAACGAGATCACACTTTATTCTTCCAAACTTTGGGGAATATAGACGTACCCTGCTCAGTCTTTCCTCATAGGACTATCCCTCCACCTCAGAAATCATGTCTGATGAGCCTTTGTTACATTTCCTATAAGGAGTGCTTCCTAAATCTTTTCTGACTGTGGTCCCATATCAAAGCTAGAAAACTGTTGTGATCCCTCAGTTAGAACTGAGAGTGCGGTGGTGGGGGAGGCGACTGAAAGCTGGGCTCTGTTAGAGTGGGAGCACAGCTTTACAACTTGGTCAGATCTCCATGGCAACCACTGCTGCCTCAGAGCTGAGGACCATAACTTCAAATTTTGCAATTCCATTTGGGGTTCTGACTCTACTTTGGGAGGTCCTCCTCTAAGGCAATTACTTTCAATTTAAAGCCAAAACCAAATTTGAACAATTCAACTTCATGAGCTATTTGGCAACAGCTTATGTGATTCTTTGTACATCTTCATTGACTGCACAATTTGAACTCTTGAATCCCTAAATTTCAAACGTTATTTTAGAAATAATGCCAGGACAATGTCCTCAAAATTGTAACCTTTTATGCAAAAAAGCACAATTCATATTCAAAGTATAAATTTACCATAAAAAAATACAGCTAGTGAATCATTTTGCATTGTGTGGTCTTGTACAAGATTCATCCACAATTTGTTTTCCACTCCCACTTTGTTATTGAACCTTTCTCCCCACTATCTGTCTACATGGTCTCAAGACACAATTTTTACGATGATAAAGTATAAAAATAAGCAATAGCTTTTTGGATTTTATAAACAGGAACATATGGTACAAAGGCAAAAAGGTAATAAATAATATATTTACATAGGAATACTTACCTTTGAGTACATTTTGCAATTCTGCATTATACAAAGAACATTAAAAATCATGCCAAGCAAAGTGAATGACCAGGATGATAGTCATGTTGGAAAACTGTTGTTTTGAAGAGAGAACTTAGATGCTCAAGTTACTTCAAGTGAAGCAGAAAGGCTTTGGATTTAGGAATCAGTGAGGCATGTATCGACTTCGTATTAATACTAATCATGAGGAAAGAGATTTGGAGTAAGATCTTTGCACAGTGTTATTGCATCGATATTAATGCACTGAATCATGCGTTCTTAAGGCAAATATGAATAAACATTTAAAGCAAAGGAATAAACCAGAAAAAGGGAGGAGATAATTTTCACCTTCACTGCTTGGATGATAAACTGTCAGCTGATTGTCTGCCCAATTTCAGCTTCTGTCATAACCAATGAAAATGAAAACCAAATGGATTCCAGAATGGTGAGCAATTCATTGTTAGTTTAACACGTACTGAAAGTGAGAATGAGCCCTAGAGCTACATGGAGAAATGAACAGGGAATTAGTTTAAACTCACTTTACAAAATACAATAGCCACAATAAACTGTGTATTAATAAACTTTGTATTTCAGAAATCTACAGTTTTACAGAATGTCTTAAGGATGTGAAAAATCTGTTTTTTTTTCCTGTTCTGTTTACATGTTTATTCTTCTCATCCCAATTATGCCCAATTCTGCAATATTATTCCTTGCACATTATCTCATAGACTTCTATTTCTCACTTTGTAAAATTCATATCCAAACCAAGGATTTTAATTCAACAGTAATTCCATGAACAACCCATATAGTGTCTGCATGAGAGGAAGATTTGGGAGGAGCTGATACATGAGCTGACTAAATGGCTAGTGTGTGGTTTACAATAATGCCATCAGTGCAGATTTAATTCTTATCTGGACTGATGTAGACTTGCAAGCTGCCTTATTGCCCTGGTTGCATAACCCGCCTTTGCTCAGATTAATATGATTAGAATACATTCATACTGAGTGATAATCCTTTAGGTATTGCCTTTCAACTTTTGATAATGCCCAGTCTTTTGTTCATGAAGACATTGCATGTTTATCGTTCACATTTTCATCTGGAAGGTCAGTACTTTGACCTAATAACGATGAAGGAATGGCAATAACCACGCAAGTGATGTTGTTGAAAAGCCTGGGAGAGGAATTTGGAGATGATCTTCCTCTGCATCTTGCGTCTTATTCATCCAATTGATATGAAACATACTACTAATGAAACCTTAATAATTCCATGTGCAAACAATACAAAATACAGCAGAAAACCATACTTTCCATACTTCTTGCACTTGGAGTTTCAATAAACTGGACATCAAATACTTTGGACATTTTCTCTCAGAATCATCTTCCACCAATGGTTTCAATACACTGCAAATAAAACCCAAGTCTGTCCTCTTGCCAAGAATGATCTGTCAATGGTAATTTTTGATCATCAGTATTAACCAGTAATAACTCAGATTTCATGCCGATGATATCTTGATTTATTAAGATACCAAATAATCAAACACCTCAGGATAGTCATAGCTTCAATGCCTGACTCATTATCTGTTAGCTGGGTTATCTGGCGCAGCTACAGCAGCAGGAGAGAGGTCACAGTTAGTCTCAAAGAGCTTGTGTCTTATTCATCCAACTGATATGAAACATACTACTAATGAAACCTTAATAATTCTGTGTGCAGATAGTAAGCAATACAGCCATGGAAAAAATGTGCAGGTAGAGGTTAGGCAGGGTTAGGCTTGAGATTTAGTTGAATAGTTAACCAAAATGACTGCCAAAAATCACATGACAGTTGTCAACTTAAGATAATATACTACAGTCAACCAGAAAACACAACCCAGAATGCATGCCATAACCTTTGAGAGTGTGCGTAGAAAACAGGAAATTGGTGAAAACATCTGGTAGAAAAAAATTGCTTTACCTCATACACATTTTTGATTTATAGACTGCAGGACTGCATTTTTAAGCATAATTAGCACAAAACATTTCTGGCTTTGTTTATTACAGCATGTTGCACTTGCTTGACTTTAAATCCCACATCAGTCATACTTTATGTCGTTCAAACACAGCTCATCATTATTATCAATTTGCAGAACTGTCTTCATTTCACTCGTACATTAAGCTGCAATCAATGTTTTGTGGAAGAAGTTTGTTGAAAACCTTTTAAGCTTGTAAGAAAATGTTAATGTATTTTAAATATTCAGAATCATGACATGCACTAATTTCCATGTCCGGTGGGCAATTTTTGCATATTTAAATCGATCACAGGAATGGCCTGCTGAGAAAGGTGACTGACTTGTGGATTATGCATCAAGTAGGATGTTGAGTTAAGTGAAGACAGATTGTGACCAGTTAGTTGGAGAGAATGACTAATAGAGACAGAACCAAACTCCTTGCAGGAAAGAACTGTTTACCCGATAACGCAATTGAATTGCACTGAGTCTGTGCAATTGGGAAATTAGCAAGAAGTCAAGGACAATTAGAAAACCCTGCGCAGTTAGAAATTATGATGAAGTCCTAGGAGTAGCTAAGTGTTGTAGTCAGAACTCCTGAAAGGAGCTGGGGTGGCACAGTGGTTAGTACCATTGCCTTGCAGTGTCAGGGACCTGGGTTCAATTCCAGCTCACTGTCTGTGTGGAGTTTGCACATTCGTCCTGTGTATGTGTGGGCTCCCACAGTCTAAAGATGTGCAGGTTAGGTGGATTGCCCATAAGATGCAGGCTTGGTGGATTAGCCATTGGAAATGCAGTGTCACAGAGATAGAGTAGTGGGGCGGAGCTGGATGGAATGCTCTTTGGAGGGTTGGTGTAGACTTGATGGGCTGAATGGCCTGCTTCTACACTGTGATGATGCAGAGGAAACCATATGCTACTAATAGTTCTGTACAGCTGTGATCAAAAATGAAAGAAACCCACAAGTCATTTTGTTTTTTTCACAACAGAGACAGATTGGAGTGCAGGAAACAAACACTGGGGTATAATGGCTTAGTGAAGCCCACTGTTTGCATAATGCTGGTGAAGTGCCTTTGAGTAAGGGCTGAGTACAGCATCCAAAAATCCAGGATGCTTCATTCCAGCAAAAAAAAACTTGAAGAACCAGAACACGAGAAAGCATTGAGGCAGTCCATGGAGCAACACTTGAGGGAGATTCAAGTTCAGGACATCCAAAGTTAAGAATCATAATCCTTTTTGGAGTTTTAATGTGAATTGGTGACCCACAGTGTCATTAACATTGGGACTGAGATTGTTGAAAGATCTATGGGATCTGTCTTGATCATGATTGGTGTCTTGTGTGGGGTTGTCTGCAACTCATATTTGTCCGAGGTTAAGTTTGAATACAGGTCATTTCTATCTTTCCACAGTCTAAATCATTTTTTGTTACTAATCTTTGCGTATTTATTCAAGTCACTTTTATTTAATCAAATAGACCTGGCTAAATTGTTTCTAATACTAAACAGATACAGTCA